CAGGCTATTTGCTAACGTATTGAGTCATATGCAAATTCAAGCCTTGTAGCCGAGTCATTGCGCAAGACGACCCTTGAATTTAAACCAGAATTAGGTAAGTAAGCATCTTTACACGTTTGCAGCTATCTGCTTTTGACAGCTGCGCACGAGGAGTATTTATGAAAAACACCTATCTATGACGCTATAGATCAGATACAAGTAAGTTTTATTCACGCCAAAAGGACGGCAGAGTACAGCTAAAAGTGATACAGAATAAGACAACAAGTCACTACTGAACAAAGACGCTTCCCCGATCTACTGCATGTTAATGATGTTGATTGGGTGGGAAATATTTTAAAATAGTTTAACTTGTCGAAATGGCCATATAAATAGAATAATCAATGACCTATTTATTTTTTGCATTAAAAACATGGTACTGCACCGATGCTCAGAAACAATGAAAATCTTGATTATGCGTTCAGGGTTAGAGGAACATTTAAGAAGACGCAAGCAACGACCGACTATATCGGCATCTACAACCTAGCAGAGTTGACGTTGTTTAATTAAAAGCAAAATTTTTATAAAAGTATTTCTGTTTTCATTGTTTCTTTGAGGAGCAATAGCATGATAACTTCTCGCACGCTGCTTTTGCTGCCATGCGAGCCAAACTGCCTCCGGTGATGCAGGTTGGACAGTGTGCACACGATGGCATCCAGCAGTCGCCCCGAGACACGTTAATTACTGAACCTGCTAATGACCAGCCCAGTTATTGCGCGATGCCACGGTCGCAGATTTGATCAGCAATTACAATGTGGTGTGAAACGATAGACACCGTTGGTTATCAGTTTAGCCAATTGTCTTCGCGTGTTAGACGCGGCCGACGAAACTGGCCAATTGCAATGACGCTTTGTTTCGCACGCCAGTGTGTCTGGAAAGCTCTGCTCATAGAAGAACTCATTTGTGGCAACCCATGGAACAAGTCCTTCCACAAGCCGGACAACACAGCTGCAAACCGATGACTTCAACGCTTAAAAGAGGTATGTTTAGCGGTGACAATTTCTACTACTTTAAGGAAAGACGTGGAACACGGTTGGTTGGCGATGACCAGTGCAAGTACTTACAGAACCGAAAAATTTTACTTTAGCACTTGGCAGATGAACTCGTTCGTATATGGCTTCTCACATACAATGAGTTCACTTGGCTAACTTCATTTTTAGTTTTGCAACATAATTCTGCTTTCACTAAATAGAAACGTTGTTCCAACATTGAAAGTGTTAATATTTGAATAGTAATGCTTGCATTGGGCTTAATTGCATTGTGATAATCTTGATACGGTATGCATATTCGCTTTTATTTTTATGGTATATATTATCATGGAAGAAACCAGAGTCGAACACCGTTTTGTTCTCGATGATTACACATTGGCATGTGAATTACATGCACGATTTGCATTTGCAGTACAACCCGCAGATGATGATGCAGTACAACCTGTGAGTTAATGATAGCACTAGTTTTAAGCACTGTATCACGTGACATAAACATATAGTTAACAACGTCAAACATTCTATACGCGCGATACGTCTCTATTGCTAAATTCGCTTCACGAGATATGTAGAATGCACTTATGTCGTTTCTGATGATTATATTATTGAATGTTATATTTCTTCAGTTGTTTCTAATTGTATGAGTACATATAAATTGCGTACAAGAAACAATTCCGGTACAGTTTTGACGAACTTCATTGCTTCTGAAATAAGATATGAGGTTTTCGATTCTGGCCATTGTAAAATCTGTTCGTAATTTATTGATTTATTTAATTTATTTCAAACTGTCAATGTTAACAATGTTTTAAAGGCAATAAAGGGCTAAGGTCAATTATGTTTAGTGCCGACAGCAAAGAATGAACAAGTTGGCTACATTTTACTAAGAATTCATTATTTTGGCTACCGCTGAAGTTTATCATAGGCTTTGATTAAGCAGAAATGAAGACTCAGTTCGATTCAAGCTGTGCAAATACCTTGTAGCGTCAGACCTGAGTTGTGTCTGCAAGATATGACTGAAATTCTTTATTAATCCTAATTCGATGCCCTTCAACAAGTATTGTGATTGTCAGTTGCTTGCTGAACGAGTAGTGATAGGAGCTATTAGTTAAGACTTTTCTGTGGTTGAGAAGTTCAAAGCTATTCATATAAAACTTTATATAAAGCTCATTTTGTGTTGGCTTACTATATCGTCACCTAACAGACTGTACAGTCGCAAACCGTCTTAGGCGCATGAATTTTTGCTATGTCTCTAGTAGATTTACGTCTGACGAATAAGGAAAAAATACAGTTAACAATTATTGTTTAAAATGTCTCAGATTAACATAGTAATTTTTGAACTTATTTGCAATTGAGAAATCGGTTTGTGCAAATATGGTGAGCACGAACACCTTGTTAGCAAGTCCTTGTTTCTTTCACTCCTGTTGCTTTTGCTGCTTTGAGATATGAATTTTTACCTTATTTTACTTTATTTTTAATGTGATGTAAAAAGTAATAGGCCTCTGAACTGCTTCTAAGAGATACATGACTCATTGTCTATAAAATGCCTGCACACAAGCGTACTTAAAAATTGGTAACTTTGTAGTTGCGTTCGTAGTTTATCTATAGCCATACGATCTACAATACACAGCATAAATTCCGTTCTTTCAATGCAGTAATCTTTAAGTAACCTAATCCAAGTCATGCATTTGACTGTTCCATTGAAATGACCAGTTTAGCTTTTCTCCTGATGGTCAGTTCAAAACCAGGTTTCAAGTACAAGGCATCTGCAAAATGACCTTCATGTGCAAAACAACGCGGAAAAATATTGAACTGCAGAGTTTCTCCAGGTTTTATAAAACTTACTACGTTTTTGCAGGGTTTCTAAGTCAGAGAGGCCCCTTTGTGCCGCCTTGTTCTTTTACTGATCTATTCGCAACGTTTCTGTCCTGTCACCACCCTCAGGACAAAATGTTTTTCAAACTTCTGCTAGTAGCCGTTAGCAAATGAAATTGACATTTCAGCCAATTTTATGAATCGGCTTCTACAGTGACAGTAAACGAAGGTCACGAAATAATCTGTACTGTGTAATTTTCTCTTTGTGACTTTCAATGAAAGAGACAATTCAAAGCAAAATTTAGAAATATTTGTCTCTGCTTTGATTTTTCTCTAAAAGCAAAATCTTCGTTCTTGTGTTCTTTTCTACTTTCGCATTAAATGACCGTGATCGATGAGTAGTGAAATAACCTTACGGATTTAAGCTAAATTTCTGGGTTTCGCAGAGACATGTCCAGTTTGTCAATCATTCATTCATTTCTTTTTTTCATTTCGATGAAGTTGTCTCTTAGCAGTCTGCCTGAGGTCTACAGGTTTGTCGACTTACGTATTATTGCACTAACTTAGAACACTAATCAACTGTAGATTTGATGCCTTGCTTGGTAATGGCTGATTATGTTCACAAAATGTTTGAGTTCGTAACATCAGTGGATACTAACCCTGAGCTAAGTTTAATGCGTTCGAATTTTCATAAAGCCATTCTTGTCCACTGTTAGAGGAAACCTTGTACTCCATCAATAACGAAACGTTCAGTCGCTAATATGTTGATTTCTATTCTACTGAAGATAGTCAATCTCATGTCTCTTACATGACTGCCAGAATCGAAGCGATTGTTCGGAAAGTTCATACTTTCGACCTTCCGTACGACTTCATTTCTCTCGAGCTTCACGGAGAACGGCAATGTCTCATTTTATTTTTGCACTCACATTCCAAATGAAGCTTAATTGAATTGTAGCTTTTTACCGGTCGAACACCACTACGAGATTAGCCAAGTTGTTGTAACAGTACATCAGCCCAAACAAAAAACTGTCAGAGGCGTGTTCGTTATATGGTTGTTCTTGAGAAATCTTGTTTCACCATAAACTATTAAATGTTATAATTACGCTAACCTTAACTTAACTTAACTGCAGCTAAGTTATTCTAAGAGTTTTCGGTCTTCCCGTCACTTGGCCTGTAAAAAACAAACGTCATTATTCTTAACATGCTGTCATTTTGAGGTCTCAGACGTGGTATGACACTGACGTTGACCATGTCTGACCACGCATTTTCACATTTTACCTGCATCGAAACAGTAGAAGTATGACATTGAGAAGTCTGCGTAGTAAAATGAGGTGCCTATCCAAAAGCCTACTATGGAAAGGAACAATGGCAAAATGGCCACTGCTGTAATGTATTTTCAGTCATTTCTTCTCCGTGTAATTGTGCCACTTTGCCAGCTTCGCTAATTAAACGAACACTTTTCAGCGAACACTTTGGTATTGTCAGGTTTTCCTTTAGGGAATGACGTTTCACACTGACTATTAGAAATGGTGCATGTGTATAGTGGATTTTAATTAATTCCGAACTGAAGCCTTTTCGTTGTCGAGTGATCTTGTATCGAAGCTGACTATTCGGCGGATGGAATAATGTACACACGTCATAACGACATAATGAAATTGTTGAGGGCGAATGAGAGACGTCGGTTTCCGTTGCTATTCAAAGCATTCCGCCGCTTTCATTGATGCAAGACAGCTTCAAGTTAATTTTCTGTTGCAGCATCGTTCGCTTGTTGGTTTGTATCCCTAAGCAAATCGCAGGATATACGAAACAAGACAATTGCCGCTGGCATAGCGTAGTAGCGGACAAGTTGTTAAACCGCTAAATGCACTATGCTTTGAGATTCACAAAATTCTGTCCTGGCAAAACAGAGTTCTGACTATTTAACTCACATAGGCTGGTGCTCATTGAATATCGTATTCGGTAGATACATGCCTATTTGACAATTTCAATCAATCAATGAAAAGTGCGTATTGCTTGAATTAGCGGAAATAGTACGTAGAACAGCAAGCTGATTAATTTCTCCAGCGTCAGTTTTCTAAGCTAATAATTTTCTAAACATGATGCCGTCGTTTCACTGCCTACGTTTTAGAGAGCTTCGTATTCAACCATGTCTTGGGACAAGGGAAAATGAATCAACTTGGCGGTCTGTTTATCAACGGTCGTCCTCTGCCGCATTACCTGAGGTTGAAGATACTAGAGATGGCGTTGACTGGTGTTCGGCCGTGCGTCATCAGTCGTCAGCTGAAAGTGTCCCATGGATGCGTCAGCAAAATCCTGAGTCGCTTTGCCAAAACAGGCAGTATCGCTCCGGGAAAGGTGACGTCACCTGTGGCATGTAATTCTTGCTAATTCACTATTTCAGCAGATCAAAAAGAACGGGGCAAAATATTTGAATTCGAACTGGCCGGTATTAGAGGAAATGGTGCGTACAGAAAGAGACGAAATGTCTTGTGCATGCTTGCCAAGAGTTGTTGAGCGCCCTGTAACTGACTCTTCAAAACATGACCTCAAAATGCCAAAGACCTTCAAGAATGCATCGCATCACGTCGCTCTTCAACGTCGTTCCGTTTTCATCGCCTCCAATTACTCAATCGACAGCATTCTTGGCAATAATACACAAAGTAGGCTGAAACGGTAATTAATTTTACATTTTGTGTACAATGCTTCGCCTATTAACTCACGTTTTGAATTTTGTGCACATATTGTGACGATGGTTCATTCATGTTGCCTAATGGAAAAATATTTGTGAATTTTCAGCGCATATACCCATCTATTCGGTAACGGAGGATAAAATAGGCGAATAAGCGAGACAATTAGTGTATGTCAAGTGAATCATCATGTCTCATTCGTCACATGAAAGCTAGCACACACAGGAGTGTTGGATTCGACTTTGGCAGGAAACGCGGTAAGTTACAACACTTCCTCTTGGTGAGCCATTGGGGTAACCTAAAGTATAAATATGTAACTTGTTGATTCCAACTACGAAATGGAACTATCACTATTAATGGTCAAAATCTAAGGTGAAATTGGAAGGTATTTTCATCTCTTATTGGTCAACCTTATGATCTGGAACTAATCATATTCATTTGTTTATGCAGCGTTCAGATATTATGCACAGCATTGACTAACTTTGGCGTTGTGACCAATGGTTAATGGTCAACTGGTGATTTCGCTGTAATTGTTCTGTCCAAGTACGGTAACTGTGGACTCCTATTATAAATTCGGAAATAAAACTGTTAACCAAATAATAATCACTCGTACCTGGGCAAGGAAGACTCAACATTTTTGAAGCAAATATGTATTATGGATAATAGTTTAACTAAAAATCGGGACCGGAAAATGAGAGCCACAAGAGATATTAATCTGCCAAAAGTGCATCATGAAGGTTCATGCCTTCAAACTTCTGAAACGGCAGACTTCAGAAGTACAAATTCATTAGGTGTGCGAACGGTTACACCCTTCATTCTCCATCAAAGGAAACAAATTGCATATCATCTGAGTCACACAGTCTGAATTAGTCATCGCCGCAGCCGTAGCACAGGTGTAAGTTGATTTTCCAATGCCCTGATCATTTTCATGCTTGCCAACGCCTCTAAGTGCCTTGCGATCTATGGTGTTCACAACAGGCTGTCAGACACCCAGAAGCTCATGTGATTCATATGGAAGTTTACGCACTGATGATGTACTCCCCTTTATCATAGGACCAATAACTATCCATTTTTGAAGGAATACAGCCATATCTGAATGGAGAAAGGAGCAAGTAAGACCGATTTGAATTAACTTGTGGTTATTCAAGCACTGCAACATAAATATAATAATGATGAGACTTTAACTCAATCATGTGTAGTAACGATAACATTTTCATTCTATGTGCTACGCAAATACATTTCTTGTGTGATTAATATATCAAGCATTGAAGCCAATTAATTTGCGAATAAATCAAATTTGTTCTGTCTAATACCGACTCTGTCTCCTTTGAGCTGCGAAAAAATTTTAACTAAGTTCGTCTTTCCCGTTCATAGGATTTGTTCAATGCTACGAATGTGTATTGTGCTAATTACATTTCTAAGTAGAGAAGTCAATGCTAATTGAACTTATACATTCCATGCTCTCCAATTCATTGCTTGCTTTTGCAGAGGTCTGTGAGATTATGTCCCACTTCCTAACTGATCAGAAGAATCTCTCTGAAGTGCTCACTGTGGCAATGATACTTTTTGATATGCGAATTTGAACTGAAGTCATTAATGCATAAGAAGTGCAGCTTCGCTTTCGATAAACTTCTTCATGACTTTAATAACATTTTGATTATGTTGTATGCAAGAATGTAACTACTTATGACCAAAATGCATTGCGCGATGACATGGAGAGTAATTATGATATACAGTGAATTTTCAACGCTTGAGAATATACTTGATTCTCTTCAGAGATCATGAAGACCATTCGTGCATGGTTTGAATTTTTCGATTGTTTACTAAAATTACAGTGTCATTTCATCGTACAACAGACTTCTGTTATGCTTAACCTCTTCACATATGTAGAAATTACATAAAGGTGTTTAATTTACTTGAGTAAGTATAACCAGTGATCAATCACCACTCAGTGATCATCAAATATGCAATCAAGTACCTCATGTCTTACTGGCAAAGTCTGACCAGACATGATTTCTTTGCCAACTCGTTGAAAGCAATCAGTGCCAGTCATTGCTATGTGTCCGTAAATGACCATAAGCCCATTCCCGTTCTTCTTGCCTCAATTGAGCTGCGTGTAATTATATGGTAAGTCGCTGGTCGGTGGTGACAGTTTGGCTCGTGTCTGAACCGGAGCTTCGTTTTGACCATTCTTCCTTAAACGTTAAATTGGTGTCCGTTTAAATTTGCAAACAGCATGAGTAGTTTTATAGACTCTATCATTAAATACTCTCAGACAGTTGACGAGTTCGATATGCATGATAGCTTGCACTGCAGTGCAGCCGATGACGATGACAGCGTAACGATTAGTGGTGAAAATATTTTGTACATGTTCTGTGACCTTCGCTGAAACAGTGCTTGACGTCTAAATCGTGATGATCAAACATATTATATTTGCCTGTCGCAAGATAATCCGTCGTCTCTGTCGTCCAGTTTCGTCCGATGGGCGACAATTGGCACGATGTCAATCTAGAGGGCTATTAGTTACCGCCGCGTTGCGAACTGAACGCGAGGCGGCGAAGCGAGGCGAGGCGAAGCGAGGCACGCGCATGCGCAGAAGTCGTAGAAGATGCGAGGTTCGGTCGCGGCTCGGTCAGGCAACGCGAAACCCGTTCGTGAGTGGAATGGGACTGGAAAACGGAGGCCGATACCCGCGCAAACCTGTATGCGATCAAGATACGATCTGCGATGACCGAAGCCGTGCCTGACTACAGATGCGGAACGGCAATTCTCGTCGTCGGATCAACATGCCAACGTGCAGACGCGGTGGCGACGACCGACAAACGCCGCCGCCCAATCGCACGTCCTACAGTTTGTCGTGCTGATATCGAACCGAGGTTGTATTGGCTGGGCAAAGACATCTGCAGTGTGCTACTCTGCTGTGAAATATCACCCAAACAGTACAGTGACATGCCAGAAATGCTGGAGGAGACACACGTGTGAAAAAGTGCACAACGAAATGGACCACGATCAGCACAAAGTGGTGCAGACATGTTAGAAATACCACTTTCTCATTAGCCCACCTAGTGTGATGGCTGCTCGGCGACAGAAGACACGCGCGACAACCATTCTCGACATTTTCCTACAGCTCCTAAATTAGTTGTCTGAAATTTAGCTGTTGTAATTACCTGCTGAATTTGAACGCTACGATGTAGTGGCTACCCGGGAACATATTGGTTATGTCTTGTCTAAGTACTTACTGTATCTATACTTTGATTTGGAGGAAGGCATACACAAGATGATTTGCTTTACGGTGTCGAAAATTATCACAAATATCGCTGAAACATAACATTAATAAAAGCTACATTACGTAGTCTCTTGTGAGACACTATGAGACTGAGCTCAACAGGAAGATTTTAACCGTT